CGCCGCCCACTCCTCCGCCCGCCAGCCCCGGGGACCGCGCCGCCCGAGCCCGGCCCCTCCCTCGCCGGGGCCCGGGCCGCAGCGGGCCGGGGGCGGGTCCCGACACCCACCATGCGGGCAGAGCTCTGGCTCCTGGTGCTGGTGCTCAGGGAGGCTGCCCGGGCGCTGAGCCCCCCGCCCGGAGCAGGTAGGACTGGCCGGAGTTGGTGGGGGGGAGGGGGGTGGGCCGGGGCCGGGGAGGGGGCAGTCAGGCAGGCGTGGGCACGAGCAAGTACCCACCGGCTGGCGATGTCGGGCTGGAGGTGGGGGGGGGGGGCACTGTCCGCGGAGGGCCAAGAGCTCTGTGGGCTGTGGCAGGTGGACAGGGACCCACTCACTTTCTTTAAACACATGCGTGAGTGAGAGTAAAGGCGGCAGACACTGATACCCCCCACTTCTTTCCTCCTGGAAGGACACTGGAGGGACCCCAGTAGAGGGGGCTACATAAGGCAGTGGCTCTGGCCCCAAAGGGGACAGTGGGGGAGTCGTAGAGACCCCTGGTCACACTGAAGGAGGATGAATCTGATGAGATGGGGAGCCTGCGGTGCCTCCTGCCCCAGCTTTGCCTCCTCTTTCTCGTCCGTGCCCCACCGCCCCCCACCCCCACCCCCACCCCCACCCCCAAGCTGACCCAGGTTGGGTCTGAGTCGGATTTTGGGGCTGGGTGGGAGCAATCAGGGGAATGGTGGAGACCCAGCATCTCTCCCAGAGGAAGCTCTGTAGCAGCCTGGCCTGCTAGCAGGCTTCGTCTCCCTGCTTGGAGCCTGGAGAACAGTCCTGGGCCCACGAAGAAGCAACTTGCTGCTCCCCCCTTCCCCAGCCTCCAGGGTCCCCCTGTCACTCTTGCTGTACTGTCCTTGTGGACTCTGGCCATTAGTTGCTCTGGCTCTGGATAGTGGGGGGCTCCTATTTGCACACTCCTCTCCCCTACACCGTTCTCCACAATCATCTCTCCCACCTGGAAGGCCTTTCTGAGGTCTACCTTGAGTCTCTCTTATTATAAAAGAACCATTTTTTCAGCTTGCAATTTTACATGCCCCTCCTTTCTCCTCAGGCACCCAGACCTTCTCTGGGGTTGGGGAGGCGGGTGATTTGCAGTCCAGCCTCTTGACAGAGAGAATTGGAAAGACAGAGCTTTATGCCTCACTGACATAGGTGTCCTTTAAATGGGACAGAGCAGTGGCACGAGGTTGTCCGGGAGACGCTGTAGTTGGGGCTGCTTTGTCTCTGAGGTGTGCTACATCAGGCACAGCATCAGTGACAGCGTTCTTGACTTTAATGGTCCTTGTATATAGCTGAGACGAGGTTGGGTCCCTGTTGAGAAGGAGGGTGGGAAAGGGTACTGGTGGTGGAAATGTGGGCAGAGAGCAGTGGAAGCTGATGTGGCAAGAGAATGTTGGTTCAGAACCACCAGGTTTCAGGGAGACCACACAGACAAGGGCCAGAGACTTGGCTTCTTGTCCCAACATCTCACTTGCTGTGTGACCTTGAACAAGTTACTTTCCTTCTCTGGGCCTGTTTCTCCACTTATAAAGGGAGGCTGTGAGCAAAATCTTTACCTCTTGGTGGTGGGATTCCGAGAGATTTTTTTTTTTATCTTTTTTAGGACTGTCGTTCCCTTTCAGATTTGTTGTGACATGTGTGGGTAATTGATAATTCAAAAAATCGATATAAAAAGGAAGAGGTTGGACAGGTCAGTTTTTGAAGTCCTTTGCAGCCCCAAACCTGGTGGGATCTTTTGAACCCAGGATGTGACTGGGTTGATGAGGGGGGTGGGCCCTGGACCCATGGCTGAATTGGGAGAACTGTGCAGACGGTTGGGGAAGGGGAATTGAGAGGTAACAAGCATGTGCTGGGGGATGGTGGCCAGACTGGGGCCTGGCTGAGGGCTGCCTCCTCAGAGTCGGGTTGGGGTCGTAGATACCTGGGGAGGTCAGGAAGAGGGGGGCAGGCAGAGACTTAATTCAAATCTCTAAGTAGAGGACACCCTGTCTTCTCAGCTTTGCTAGAGATTCAGTCAGGAAAAAATGGACTTTCTCTGCAGCAGGAGAGATGGGTTGGACTTAAGGAAGCTCTAGGAAGCCGGAGGGGGCAGCTATTGACTCTCGGTCCCGCGGTTTTTTTCACCAGGCCCGGCTGGATTGGAGGAAAGGTCCGTGTGGAGGTAGGGGGCGTTGTCTGCTGGAGGAAGAGGTGGAGGGGTGGATATTCTAGGGGAGGCCTCTAAGGAGGGACAGCCTGGCTCAGATCAGTGGCGGAGCCCTGGCGCCTGGTGAAAGGGCAGCGGGGAGCTGGATGTGAAGGGGCATCATCCAGCCCCAAGGCTCCAAGCTCTGTGGGCAGGGGGCCCTCAGGAGGGAGCTGCGGTCTCCCCTCCCTCTTGATGGGTTGGCTTGTTTGGTGGAGCCTTGAAACTCCATCCATCATTAGAATGGAAGCAGGAGAAAGATGAGTAACCCAAAGATATAGTCAGGAGGGGAGGGAAGACCACTAGACGGGGACAGACAGGAAGATGGCCTTAGGAGGCACTGGCAGGGGCAGCAGGGTTCGGCCCCAGTGGGACCAGCGCTGCCTAAAACAGCTATAGCGAGAAGAGGCAGCTGGAGGGCATGTCTTCGGTCTGGGAGTCGGGAGATCAGGCCCAACCCCAATCCCTGGTGATCCTGGCCACTTCCTCCTTTCTCTGCACCTTGGTTTCCTCTTTTATAAAACGGGGTTTGGGCCAGATTGTGTCTAGGGCCCCTTATAACCATGATTCTGCTTCCAACCTCCTTCTTGCCACCAGACACTTCCAAACAAACTGAGACTAAAGTCCAGATTTCTGTTTTGTTTTCCAATTGGGAAAAATTTCCATTTCTCAGGAAAACATTAATAAATAAGAGCTTGGATTGTATTGCCTTAAAGTCCAAATTTCTTAGAGTGGATAGCCTCCCCCCCCCCCCGCCCCCCATCCCGGCACCTGCTCTCACGCTCCCCAGGTCCATCCCTCAACACATCCAGGCTGTGTCCCCTCTGGTCCTCAAGTAACACGGGCTTCTCTTCATCCAGGTCTCAGCTCAAGGGCCACCTCCTCCTCCACACAGAGGCCCACCGGGATGGCGCTGCCCAGGGTAGAAATAAAGCCCAACACTTCCGTCTGTCTTAAAGCACCCGTCCCCACCGCACGCTGTCTTGTTCACCACATTCTTCATTTTGCAGGAGTCTTTTCCAACTAGAATTTTCACGGGCACAGGGGCTGTGTCTGCCCGTTCCCTCTTGTTGCCCCAGCACCCAGTGCGGTGCCTGGCACACAGTAGGGTCTCAATGAGTGTGTATTGAATGAGTGAGTGAATCAGAGGTGGTCACGGACCCCAGACTCTCCCTTCGAGAGAAACTCACACTTCTCTGTTCTCCCGTTCTTCTCTGACTACTTGGTGGTCCCTTCCTGCTAATCCCTTGTGCCTCCTTCCCTCTCCCCAGGGGAAGGTCCACGGTGGGAGCCTCGGTGGGTTTCCCAGCAAGAGGATGCGACTGGGGGCTTCGTAACTAGGGCACCCGATTTCAGCTCAGAGTCTGGAGACTCTCTCAAGTTCCTTGGAAAGTTGGTTCTCACGTAAAACCCAGGGAAGGCAGGGGAACTTTGCTGGGTGCTTTGTGTATAGTATTTTGTTAAAGACTCCAAGTGTAGGTTTTATCATTCCCCTTTGACAGATAAGGAAGCTGAGGTTTAGAGGGATTAGGTAATTTGTTCAGCATCACAGTCAGTAAGTAGTAGATTCAGGGTTCACCTTCAAGTTTGTGTGATTCCAAACCTGTGCTCCTTTATTGCTGTGGCATTGCAGTGAGGGTTTCCAGTGGGCCTGTGCCCCAGGGGAAGGGTTTTCTCAGCCTTGCGGATCTCAAGTAACCAAGGCGTTTAAAGATCCCCCTCCCCTTCCTTCCCTTCCTCTCTTCCCTCCCTCTCTTTCCTCCCTCCCTTCTTTCTCTCTCTCTTTCTTTCCTTCCTTCCTTCCTTCCTTCCTTCCTTCCTTCCTTCCTTTTCTTTCTTTCTTTCTTTCTTTCTTTCTTTCTTTCTTTCTTTCTTTCTTTCCTCCTTCCTTCTTTCCTCCCTCCCTCCCTCCTTCCTTCCTTTCTTTCTCTTTCTTTCTTCTTTTCCTTCCTTCCTTCCTTCCTTCCTTCCTTCCTTCCTTCCTTCCTTCCTTCCTTCATCTATATGTACTTTCTAAGCCTTTGCTCTGTATCAGGTACTAGAGCCTGCAGATGCACAGTCACAACATGTTGGGATCAGGGCCGGGATGATGCATGTAGCATTTGGGGTGAGGAGGGGAGATGTCAGGGGATGCTTTGGGGAGAGATGGCATCTTACGGGACTTGAAAGATGAGCAAAAGGTCATCAGAAGAAGGGTTCATTTATGGAGCAGAGTGGTTCCGGCTGGGAAAGCCACGTGTGTGAGGCCCTGTGGCCAGAGAGAGCAGGGCTGGATCCTGGCGAGGGCTTTAGGGAGACAGGAGGGCGGAGGAGAGAGGAGGGATCCGGTCAGGAAGGGCCTTCAGCTGGAGGGCTCTGGAGAGCTGGACGCATGGGAGAAATGGAATCACGTGTGTCCTCTAGAAAGCATGCCCTGGAGAGAGTGTGAGAGACTAGATGGAGGGCATTAAGGGCGGAGGCTGTGGCCGTGGGGCTGGAATGGTGAGCTTGGGTGATGGGTGGGACGAGGGTGGCTTGGCCAGGCACTGGGGTGGCATGACGTGGCCTCCTGAGGTCAGCCCGTGGTTTCTTGTGCCAGAGCAGGACAGTGGCACGTGGAGAGACCTGGGGTTCTACTGCTGCTGGGCCGCCCTCCTGCATGCCAGGGGACACAGTCTCCCAGGGCAGCTCCAAAATTCAGGCCCAGTGGTCCCCAGTAAGCCCAGCCCACACGCCTGTCCTTCCCTGGGCTGCCCCTGCACCTTAGGAAATAGCCTGGGGTCGCTGGGCGCTTCTTGTTACACTTTCTGTGGCCTGAGCAGACCCTAAGGTCAACCTGCCCTGTGTGCCAATCTCGCCATGGACTCGTTGTGTGACCTGGGGAGATTCCTTAACATCTCTGTGTCTCAGTTCCCAATTCGTAAAATAGATCTAAAACTAGCACCGATCTCAAGGGGTTATTGGGAGGATTAAATGAGTTCATGTGTTTTAAAGCATTTGGAAGAGTGGTAGCAAAGAGTGAGCATTTTCGAAAAGTTAGCTGTCATTTTTATTCTTCCTATTGCTGCTGTGACAGCATGCTGCTTGGGGCCATGGGTGAACGCGTGGATGAATAAAGAACAGTGTGATCTCCGGGAGCTTCTCGCCGTCACTCACGGGCAGGTGCACTCACGTGACGTGGGTGCTGGGAAGGTGAAGCTGTCCGATGCGGGACAGAAGGTAGAGCAGAGAGTGGCCGAGGGTTGGAAGAGTATGCAACACATGTGTGAGCATGCAGGGGGGATGGCCCAGACCTTCAGGCAAGTCTGCGTGTGCACAGGCACGTGGGTCCCTACACACAGACACACGTGAGCAACCAGCTGCGTTGGCTCCTTCCACAAGCTGAGGGGGTGATGTCCTGTCCTCGCCAATTGGGAGGGGGAAGAGTGGCAGGGAGACAGATGTCGTGGGGGCTGAGAGGGTCAGACTCAGGGCGGGGCCAGGGTAGGGCAGGTTCCTGGGCTGTCTCCCTCTCCATCCCCTTCCCTGCCCGACTTAGTGGACTCTTTGCCTCTGACCTTGGCCCTGAACCCTCTAATTCTAAAGCCTCCTCATTTGTTTTTCACTTGATGCTCATAGCAGCCTGCCCTGTAGACATGATTGTCACCCCCATTTTAGTGATGAGGGAATTGAGGCTCAGAGAGGTAAGCAGATGGGTCCAAGGTCAAACAGCTTCTGGGTGCGGGTGTCCCTTCCCTGACCCCTCATCTTGACTGGGCCCCCCTTCCCAGCCCTCTTCTCAGGCCTTGGGCCCCCACGTCGCAGGCACCCTCCTGTCTCAGTTGCAGGATTGTGATGCGTGCAGACCTCTAGCATCCCTTTCCAGGCCGGCTAAGCCCTTCTACTTGCTCTGCACACGTTCCTTTCGTGTTCTGGCTCCAGCCCAGGCCCGAGGGCCGCTTGCAGGAGGACCCGGGGAGCTGGGCAGAGCAGCCCGGCACAAACCGTTCTATCTCCAGAAGCAGCTATGGGCCCCACCCGAGAGGGGCAAGACAGCCTTGGCTTGGGGTCTGAGCCAATGGCAGGCTGCCTTCCCGGCCCTGGGCTTAGGCCCGTCTCAGCCAGTGGGCAACCTGGGGAAGGGGCCTGGGGGCTGCCCCACTCCCCACCTCCTCCAGAGCATCTGGTTGCGATTAGGGGCAGAGAAGTGAGAGAGGGCCGGCAAGGGTCCAGCAAGCACCAGCAGCCAAGAATGACTTAATTGGACGAAATGTCTAATGACAAACCAGGGCCCCACAGCAGAGTCCTGGCCCCAGCCCCAGGCCTGGTGCTGGCCAAGCCTTGTCTCAACCTCTGTCCTTGCAGGCTCCCAAGAGTTACCTCCACTATCGCGTCCTCAATGGTACAGTGATTGGGCACCTACTGTTTGCTCGACACTGAGAATGCACATTTGCAGAAGGTGGGGAGAGTCCCGGGGGAGCTCGTCTGCCAGAGGGACAGACATGTAGTTACACCAGTGGGTGCTCTAGGAAAGAGGGTTACACCCAGAAGCTCTAGGGAGTGGCGGACAAGGGCATCGGACACAGGGTCGGCCTGAAATCGATGAATATCACAGGAAATATCAGACCCACCTCTCTGGTGATCTGTGTCCCATACACACGTCCAGGGTAGGTGTGACAATTGCAGTGACAATATAAGACACATCTTTAGGGGCACAAATCTTTCTAAAAAGGAAAAGCATGGTTTCTGTGCCATTCAGAATAAAGGTAATGACCTAGACGGGACAGAGAACACCGAGTCTAGGAATGGCTGCTGAATGGCCAGTGCGGCCACTTCCCCATCCTGGGCCCTGGGAAACACCGTTAATTGATCGTGACAATCTTTCCTGCTAAACGCTGATGGGGCTTCAGGGTTTGTCTCTATTAGAGCACTCCTGGCTGTCACTAATTGATTGGAGATGGCTTTTGAGATGAAACCTATTTGCCATCTTTGATGGAGGCTAAGCTCCATGTTTTATGGAGAAAGGGACTTGCCCAAGGTGTTTGCAGGTAGTCACAGGACTACACAGTGGTCCCCACTATGGAGACATCTTTGCTTGTCACAGTCTGGGAGGAGGTGCTATTGGAATCTAGTAGGCAGAGGCCGGGGATGCTACTGAACATGTTACAATGCTCAGGACAGCCTCCACAGCCAAGAGTTCTCCAGTCCAGAATGTCAATGGTGCTAATGTTGAGAAGCCCTGAACTCAAAGAACTCTACTCTCTGACTTCTAGTCCCTGGAGTCTCCCGGAAGATGAGCTTATGCGCCATTTCTGGCAGAGAAATCAGGAACTGGTTTGGAATGTTCCAGAGCAAAGGTGCTCACCCTTGTCTACAGAGTTAGGTTCAGGGCTTCCCCAAAGCTCCCCTGGGGATTATTTTAAGAATCCTAACGCCCAGGCCACACCACAGAACAATTATATCAGGATCTCTGGGGTGGGAACCAGACAGTAGGAATTGTTAAAGCTCCTCCAATGATTCTGTGTGCAGCAGAGGTTGAGAATAATTACCCCTTTGGACATTTGGAACTTATCTCCCTCCCTAACCCAACAGGTGACTCTCTTTAACCTCTGTGAGCCCTTGATTCCTGTCTGCAAAATGGAGAGCATCTTATCTCCTGCGGAGGGCTGGGTGAGGTCTAACGGTGTGCTGTGTGCAGAGTGTGTGGCACGGAGGCGACACGTGGCGCTCAGTGCACAATGGGTGTCTCCTGCCCCGGCAGCTGTCTCCACGGTCAGTGATGGCGTGGTGCTGGGGCCTCTGCAGAGTAAATGGGCTGCTCCCCTGCTTGGACCTTCACTCTGGACTGCCGGGACTCAGCTTACTGTCTCCTTCTCCCAGGTCAGGATGCAGGCGGAAGCTCTGGGCGGGCTGCCAAGCGGATCACGCAGGGATGGAGTCGGAGAGCCCGAGAGAGCCCCGGGCAGGCATCAGAGTCGGACAGGACCCAGCTGAGCCAAGACCCGGGTGGGGGCACCCTGGCCATTGACACACTGCCAGATAACGGGACCAGGGTGGTGGTGAGTGCTGGAGGAACGTGGAAGGGGAGGGAAGTGGTGGTGAGGGACTCCCCAGGTGCCCTGAGTAAACTTGTCAGCCCTGCAAATCACATATCCTTTGGGATTGGCCTTGGTTGTCGGCATGGAGAGAGGGATCCCAGGGGAGGGGATGAGAGCAGGGCCCAGCCTGGGACGTTAAATCTTCGCATCTCAGAGCTTCATAGATCGCCCACCTCCTCGTGCACCCAGGGAGGTGAGGTGACTTGCTCAAGGATGCACAGCATGTGCACAGGCTTCCTGTCCGTGGGTTCTTACGTGACCCGAGGCCTCCACTAAAAGCTGAATGAAGGTGGCATTATTGGTCACATCTAGCTGCCCGCTCAGGCCCCTCTCCCTTCTCATTCCTGCACCATTTACAGACCCTGTAGCCCCAAAGGGTTAACGGCCAAAGAGGCTCAGGCTGCTTAGCCTCAGGGCAGGGCACTGAGTAGAGAAGACAATTAGCGAGAGAACTGAAATGTCTGCCTGGGGCAGTTCTGGGGCTGGTGCATCCTGGCTAGGAGAGTCAAGGCCCAGAGGAGGTGCTGTCCTTGCAGTGTGTGGCCCTGCTCTCCAGCGGGCTTTCTGGGAGGCCGATGGGGGCCTCTGTGTCTGGGGGTGAATCTGACGTCACGTGTGCGTGTGTTTGCACCTGCGTCTGACGGTTTTTGTATATTATGCTCACGCTGCCGCCTCTTGATTAATTCCCTTAGACATTGTCTGTTGACTACCTGTTGTGTAGATGAAAATTTGCCTTTTATGCACTCCCTCGACCGTCATTCTACTGCCAGTGTTTTTGTTAAATCTCTGCTCTGCTTTATATCATGATAATCGTGTAAATATTGTTCACCACTAATCCAAGCAGGGTAATATTATTGTTGACTTTCTTGTACAGTTTTTGTTTTTCCTGGATCCTTGCCCCAACCCCCTGTTTGTTTACTTTTCTGTACTTACCATAGCTATATATTCTTATATATCTACTGGCTTTAAATAGAGTTTTTGGTGTGGTACAACCTGTCCTTGCCCCCCCCCCCCCCCCCCCCCCCCCCCGAAACCTCTCTCCTGTTGTCCTGCTCCAACCTGGGCTGGCTGCTTGCCCACCTGCCCACCCCACGGTCATTGTGGGACCTCCCTTCTCCTCCAAGGTTGGAACCCCCTTATCTGTCTCCTGTGTTGGGTGCCCTATTCTCTCAATCTTTCCTGCTTGCCCCCCTTGTTTGTTTAGCTTCCTGAGAAAGGTTACACAGGAGGGAACGTTCTTTAGAAAACTCACATATCTGAAAATGCCTTTTTTAAAAAACATATTTTTCTTTTATTTTGAGTTATTTCAATGTTTATTTATTTTTGAGAGAGACAGAGCACAATTGGGGGCGGGGCAGAGACAGAGGGAGACATAGAATCCGAAGCAGGCTCCGGGCTCTTGAGCTGTCAGCACAGAGCTTGACACAGGGCTGGAACCCCCGAACCGTGAGATCACGACCTGAGCTGAAGTCAAACATTTAACCGGCTGAGCCACCTGGGTGCCCCCAAAATGCCTTTATTCTATCCTTACACTTGATTGATGGTCTGGCTGAATATAGAATTCTAGATTAAAAATAATTTTCCTTCAGAGGTTTGCAGGCGTCTTCTGGCTTCCAGTGTCACCGTTGAGAGGTTTGATGTCCTTCTTACTCTTGGTGTTTATATGTGCTCCCTCCCCGCTCTGGAAGCTCTTGGGGTGTAACCCCCACATTCTGGAAGTGCAGTGATGTGCTCTGACTCTGGGACTTACACCCACCAGTTCTGGCAAGCCCTCCTGTTTTATTTCTTTGACAATCTTCTCTCTGCCTATTTCCTTCTTTCTGTAGGTCTCCTTGATTCAACGTTCATCTCAGGGATCGATCACTGAACTTCTCTTTTCTGTCGTATATTTGCAGGGTTTGCTTGTTGGTTTTGGTCCATTTTCTGGGAGACTTTTCTCAACTTTATTTTCTGAATGTTACTGATTCTTTTTTCTATGATCATATTTTTAATTTCTAAGAGCTCTTTATTATTTTCCGATTATTTCTTTCCTTAGGGAAAAAAAAAGGCATTCTGTTCTTGTGTCATGGATGTAAGATCTTTTCTGTCTTAGGATAGTTTAAAATTTTAAATATTTTTTTTCCTGCTCCTTCCTTCCTTCCTTCCTTCCTTCCTTCCTTCCTTCCTTCCTTCCTCCCTCCCTCCCTCCCTCCCTCCCTTCCCTCCTGTCTTTTGACTTTGTTTTTCTGTCTTGCTTTCTAGTGGGGGAGTTGAACGCAGGGACAGTTTACCCAGGAGTGGGCAGGGTGAAGAAAACAGCAGGGGATGGTAAAGTGTCTTAGGAAGAGCAGCAGGAGCCATTAAGACGTCTACACCTGTGCTGGCAGGGAGGGTGGTTACCCAAACCAGCAAGAGCTGTGACTGTCTCTGCAAGAGGGTCTGCTTCCAAGAGCTGTGGCAGTGGGGACTGAAGAGGGACCAGAGCCAACTTGCAGCCTGGTAGGAAGGGAGCGGAGTCATAAATGCTCTAAACTCTCCCTCCTTCTGCGTTATTGTTTCTGTGACTTAGTTTTCCTTTTACTTCAGGCTCCCGTAAGGCTTGGCACTATTACTGATCCTGTCTGTTTGATATTTTGTTCACCATGGATTAAAAAAAATTTTTTTTTAATGTTTATATTTGAGAGACAGAGAGACAGTGTATAGTGAGGGTAGGGGCAGAGTGAGAGAGACGGAGACAGAATTGGAAGCAGGCTTCAGGCACTGAGCTGTCAGCACAGAGCCCAACATGGGGCTCAAACTCACGAACCGCGAGATTATGGCCTGAGCTGAAGTCAGACGCTCAACCGACCGAGCCACGCAGTTGCCCCGATCGTGGATTTTTTGGAGCTCATTTCTGTTTTAAAAATTTTTTTTTTTTTTTTTCAACGTTTATTTATTTTTGGGACAGAGAGAGACAGAGCATGAACGGGGGAGGGGCAGAGAGAGAGGGAGACACAGAATCGGAAACAGGCTCCAGGCTCCGAGCCATCAGCCCAGAGCCCGACGCGGGGCTCGAACTCACTGACCGCGAGATCGTGACCTGGCTGAAGTCGGACGCTTAACCGACTGCGCCACCCAGGCGCCCCATCATTTCTGTTTTAAAATACTGCTTTAAAACATCCTCTACATTGGGGCGCCTGGGTGGCTCTGTCGGTTAATCATCCGACTCTTGATTTCGGCTCAGGTCATGATCTCATGGTTTGTGGGAGCAAGCCCTGCATCAGGCTCTGCACTGATGGCACAGAGCCTGATTGGGATGCTGTCTCTCCCTCTCTCTCTGCAGCCTACCCTGCTCACATACCTACATGTGCTCTCTCTCTCTCTCTCAACATAAATAAATAAACTTAAAAATATGTATATTTAAAATTTCCTCTCTCTTGACGACTGGGTTTTTAGTGCCAACTTAAGCGTTATACCTGAGGTCAGGGCCTCACCGCCTCACCTAATCTTTGAGGTGGAACCTGGTAGAACCTCAGAGAACAAAGTCCCAACTCACTTCCCATTGTGCCTTGTCTTCTCCATCCTCTAGAACCAAGGAGCCATGGTGGGGTGATGGGGTGGAAGACCAAGGCAGGAGAGATATAAGGGGTCCTGGACACCCTTCCCCACTCCCCCACCCCCGCCCCAGCTTTGCTGGGCCATTAGTTAAAGAACTGATACTTGTTCTTGGCCAGACACCATGGTCAAAGGGCCATGTCCCAGTCCATGCAGAGAGGCCCTTGCAGAAGAGAGCCACAAAGAGGCAGACTTCTGGAAGCAATTGTCTGTGGGGAGTCAGAAGGGGCAGTGGGGATCCTTAAGAGCCGGTATGGATTCAATAACCCCAGAACTTAAAAAACAGCACAAATTCTCGGGCTCCACCCTGGACTGGTTCAGAAATGTTGGAGACGGAGACTGGGAATTTGTTCCTTTAAAAGTTCCCATGTGATCCTGATGGCCATCTAGATGTGGGGACTTCTGATCTGTAATATTTCAAGCCAGTTTTGAAAGCAGTTACTAGAACGACCACCTGCACCTGAAGCTTTCCCAGGTACCACGTGGCTATACTTGACTACATGACTTCCCCCATCCCGGGAGCGTTGTGGCCCCCTCGACAGCCACACATCTAGAGACCTTGGGAAGGAGCAAGGTCCCCCCCGGCAGGAAACCCCTTTGACTGCCCCGGGGGGCTGTGCCCAGCTCTGCCGGCAAGACGGGAGGATCAGACTTCTACCTTAGCTGGAAGTGGGTTCAGATGTCAGACTGGGACCCGGAAGCCTGCCTTGGCAGGCTGAGTGATTGTCGGCTTCAGGCCAGATGAAACTACCAGGATAAATATAAATCCTGGCACTTTCGTTTAAAATAAGGTGGGAGAGATGTGGCTTAGCAGCACTTCATGAGGAAAAGTTGTGGGGCTCCTCACTGCTTGTGGGCTGGGGATGAGTCAGGAGTGTGAAGTAGCTGCCAAGGGTGGAGGTGGGAAAGCTGGCTGTGTTCACGGAAACCCACAGAAATCCGGGCACCAGTGCTGGGGCTCTGGAGGTCCTATGGAGGTATTTCTTGACCTGACCATAAAGCTGGAGGGCTTGTGCCCCCTATGAGATGGCCATCTAGAAACCAGGGGAGTCCAGAATGGTTGAAGAAGCCCGTGGGCATTTAGCCTGGTCTAGAGAAGGCTCTGACTCTGGCTGTGTTCTAACAGCTGCAGGGCTGTGACTGCTGCAGAGGGAATAGACTATTTTTCTCCATAGAACTTGTCACTTCCTGCACCGAATTATCTATTTATTTGTTTATATTGCCCGTCCTCTGCCTGGAATGGAAGCACCACGAGACCCGAGACTTTGAGGACCGGGCTGTCAGTGCCTGGCACACAGGAGGAGCTCCTCCTTTGGAGGAACAGAGGAAGTAGGGATTTCTCCATCCCCAGAGACCTCAGAAGACGGGACTGTAGAAGAGAAGAGGTT